CTATTATTGATATATATATATATATCCAATCAAGGTTAAGTAAAATGATAAATTAATAATATATATATATATATATATATATATATATATATATGTGTATGTGTGTATGTTTGTATGTAAACATTTCAATTGCATTTTATTTATTAGCAACAACTTTTGCTAGAAAATGGAATGTTTAGTAAGTAATATTTGCTAACTTTATATTTCTGCGTTTCTCTCATCTAGAGAAATTTTTTAATAGCATATATATGTATATAGCAGTATATATGTATAACTTTTTAGAAATAATATCTTCATCCGAAGTGTCGCGTAATGGCAAGAAATAGTGCGGAAAGAAAATTGCTGACAATTAGTACAGAGAGTGTTATATTAAATTTATATGATCCTTAATATGCACCATATCATATTTGGTTTTGCGAGAATTTAAAGTTCAAATAATAATTAAAGCAGTAACGAACTTATACGCCTAAAACAACGTTGAAAAATAGAATTGTCGGGTAATAAAAAACAATCTAAGTTTTGACATTCTCCTACGGGAAGGAACGGGACGAGGAGAAGGAGGGGGAGAGCATGGCCGTAAGAGGGTCACGAACCGATACGGCAACTTGCAGCCCCCATCTATGTCCCCCATGCACTGACATATAAAGCTTCAGGAAAGCACTAACCTACATGCTCATTCGTACGGCAAATCATATTCAGTTCGCAAAATGAAAACCACCCGTGATGCCACACACTATTCGCATTCGTTTCCATCTCTTCTTCACTTCCTTCCTTCTTAGGCCGTAGCACACGATGGAGAGAATCGTCTTTCAGAGGAAATCTGCGAAGCCTTTAGAAATCTGAGAAGTTCCTTCTTTTTTTCTTCGTTTTTATCTCATTTCTTAAAAACTTCTTCTTATATTTAATAATTTTTAATGATTGTCTCAAATTTTTTCGAAATTTTAGAAAATCTCAATCTTTTTTAATAATAATAAGTATTTTGCGGAAATTTCAAGAATTTTCTCTCATTTACTTTAAATTTTATTTATATTATATTGTTTTTTATTTTTTAAACATATCATCATCATCTTATTTTCTTGAAAATTCTCACCGCTGTTATTGTTCCCTCGCATTGACGAGAAATAATATTATTCCATCTTATTCTGTAGAAGGGACATAATTAAATAGGAAAAAGATGGGCACAGAGTTAATTTACAACAAAAGCAAAACTCTAATTAAATAGTGCGGAATATGCTAAAGAGTCCGCAAACAAGAATCCTGCAAATATCACTTGTACCGAAATAGCGAGCCCATCGCAAAATTAATTAACGCATAATCCTTCTCAGCTTCATTAATATTTGTTTGCCTCTCGATATTTATTTTATTAATTGTAATTAATCAACGAGATGGTCGTTAACATAACACGGCGTACACGGGGATCGTATAAATTTGTTATTAAAATCAGATTTGTATTTTACGTGAAATTGAGCGCAATAGTACCATTAATTGTTGTTATTCGAGGAAAAACGTTTATGGCTAGATCAAATGTAGATCGATAGAATGGAGATAAATTGCGACTATACGATGAATTTAAGATCATTCATATTACAGATAAAATTAAAGCAGATGCCAATAACAACCAAATTCAGAACAGGATTGATTGATACAATGCTAAGTGGCAATTAAAATTGAATCAATCTTCTCGCGTCATTCATCGTCATGAATGAATAGTTCGATTTGCAAATGCGCTAATTGTGACGTGAGCGTAAACACAGCGATCTTGCAAATAATAAGTTAATAAAGTCGATTTTGTAAACACTAACAATCTATCAGATACGTATCGTTAAATCTTTCTGATTCGACGATTATCAAATTTTTCTACCGCGAGATATCGCATTCAATCTAAAACGAATCACAATCGAAAATATTTGATAAAGTGCACTCGCGATCGTGTTAAATAATTAATTTAGCTGAAATTTTCTCCAAGGAAAACTTATTGACTCCAAAGTGTTATTTAGGAAATCTATCGTTACTATTTGAATTGTTTCTCTCGTAGGACACTCTGTATAGATGATATCTATATTGAAAATCAATAATCGATAGGACGATTCGTCTTCATGGCGACCGTGTATAGCCTAAAACGATGGGAATGGTAGTAAACGGGCGGAGAGAGGGGAGAGGATGCGAATGGCGATGATCGCAGTTCTTCCAGCTTTGAGATCATTACGGGTGTGATTTGTGGCGCCATTAGAGAGGCGCAGTCGAAATGCGTTTCTGAAAAGCATTGTGAGGGGGGGGGGGAGGAGAGGTCAAAATTAATCGTCGGTGCCCGGTGCGAGGGGGCATAAATTCCGTCCTTCCTCGCCAACCTCTGCACTCACATGCGAATTTCCGCGCCGGAGAAAATTTTTCGCCGCCCGACCAAAACGACCGAAGTCAGCGTACCGAAAAGTTTTGCGACAGCCTCGACAAACAACGCGACGGCGTTTATTGCGGCTGATTTACCGGCGATTTTACATCGCGCGGCTTTATAAGAGCGCTCTCTGCGAACTCGTATGACGGAACCGTGAGCAGGAAATCGCCAGGACTCTCTTTGTTAATAAACGCGTCATTTTGTTAAAGTGACGATATCAAAATCATCTGTATATAGTATCCAGTCGTATTAAAATATCCAATGCAAGAGTTTGTGTCTGATAAGGTATTTATGTACGAACAGAATTACTATTCGATACGTCCGGATTCGGTTGTAACGCTCTACAGTCTTAATATTTTATTTTTTTTAATGTATGTTGAAAAAGAAATATCTAAATGTGATAAAATAAAGGTTTAAAAATATAATTTACATAATCATTTTATAAGTTATAAGTTAAGCTTTTATATAAAAATGAAGGAGAGATTCAAGAGAAGATTTAAATATCTAGTACTTTTTATGTAAATTTAGAGCGTATTAACGTGGATATAAAATGTGCATTTATTGTTATTTATTTTTGAAAATCGGCTATTTAACAACTGAACAAGATAAATTATTGATTATCTATTACTGGTTTTAATTACTGAGCGGAAGCAGCTTCCATGTAATAATGTCTTTATATATAGAACGTATTGCAATCTCGAACAAATCTGGGATAAATGTGATTTAAGTCAGACAGGGAATATGACGTCAGCATTTGAGATAATCTCGGTAAATCCAGGACGTCTAGCAGATTTGTAACTAGTAGGCCAGTGTTTAAACAAAACGAGAACGGAAATACTGAAATTTTCACGTACAAAATAAGTTCCTTTTATAAAACTAAAGACGCTGTCATTGATAAGATTATTATCTAATGTACAAAAAATCAATGATAATAATTTAAGAAAGGAGTTCTATGTAGACGACGAATTTTTTGCCCAACTCTGACATTTTTTAAATTTAAACTATTGGACTTATAAATATAAAATTTGGTAAATGTATTTAATTATATTTAAATAATACTTAAAAATGTTTATAAATGCTTATAATTAACAATTTAAACAAACCATTTCGAGTACCTTTTATTTCGTAACGGTCGATACGTTTGCTTCAGTTTATTTAAAATACAAAATTAAATAGATTTTAATCTACATGAATGTGGCTATCGTCTTCGAGATTAAAATCACCACGACGAAATTTTGCAAACCATTTCTTTACCATTCGAAGGGCTGAGACACGGTCCAAATTAACCTCTTGAATGTTTTTCGTTGCAGCGCTAACGGTTATTCCTTTCCAAAACTCGTAAAGCATCACATGTCGAAAATGCAACTTCTCCTTGTCCATCTTCAATGATTTTTTTCACGACTTAAATTTAACCGAACAAAACACTTCTGATGCTCAAATGACACTTATGACTGTTATCTTTCCAACGATATATAATATGCATACATAAACAACAACAGAGTCGTCATGCTACTTCACCAGTTCCATCTATATGAATCGGGCACGAACTTTTGCACTGATCTAATAAATTCGCGTTTATCAGTTCGAGATATTGCACACAGCGTTCATTGTTCGACTGTTTCTCGATACCACAAGGCCACAGAGAAAATGTAAAAGCATAACAAATATCATGTGAATTGACTGAGAAAAACAAGCTTTGCCACA